GATGGTTTCAGTTGCTTTAGAGCGTCTTACCATCTTGCAAATCAGTGAAATCGAAAAATGTCAGATAATTATAACAGTATGTTGTAAAGAGTAATGATCTGCGATCTAGAATCTAGAAATCTGAAGAAATAGATTGTTTCTACAGACACAAACAAAAAACATGATTGATTATGCTAATTTGTTGACCTGAACTAACAGAATATTGTTTGAACTGAAAATAATGTGGTGGAAAGAGTGAAAAATTATACTAAAGTAAAAGTAAAAGCATTACTTGCCAAAAATGTAGCATACTGTAAGTAGAGTAAGAGTGTCTGTGTATTTGGTCACAATTACGGTAAGGTTTAGTTAATGTTAGTTAATGTTATTTCAAACATAAACTAATAATGAGCTATACTTGAACAACATTAATTAATCATAGTTCAACATTTATTAACATCCAAAATCATGCTTGTTGACATCATAAGTTAACAGGAATTAACAAGAAACTGTATTTTTAATAATTAATGTTAACTAACATGAACAAATACTCCAACAGGTGCACTGTTCAATGTTTGTTTGTCTTAGTAAATGCATTAACTTACATTAAATAATACAATCTTATTGTAAAGTGTTACTGTATTTTTATTGAATATCTATCTGAATAAAAATAAACTGTATGTCTATTTTAAATTCTACTCAAAGTATGAGTACACAAAGTATGAGTAAAAAGATCTGCCCTTCTACTTTACCCTATTTTATACAGTTTTTTTAAAAAGTGTTTTTCCAGGTTCCAAGTGAAATGTTTTCCCATTCATGCACTATACAATTAAAATTAATAAACTCATAAAATAATGGCTAAAGATTGAAGAAAAAAAATAAGGCAGTAAAAGTTCTGATACAGCACTAAAAATGTATTCAAGTAAAAGTACACATCTTTTTAACTTCTTAGAAAAGTACAATTCCTCAAAAAAAAAAAAAAAAAACTGCTTACAGTAATGTGAGGAATTGTCGTTTTTTATTTGACACCACTGCTTCTGTGTAAGCAGTGCTTTATTTATAGTACACTTTATTTACTGTGAAACTGCACGTTTCTGTCACTTCGTTAAATGCGGGTTTAAAGTTACTTTACTCACCCTTAGGACATCCAAGATGTAGATACATTTTCTTCAGTAAAACATTAAAGAAGATTTTAGCTGGAGTCCCATTACTTAGTGATTCATGAAATACAAGTTAAGGCCTACTTGCACTTTGGGAGTAAAAAAACTGAAAAATAACACCTGTGACCTTTAGCTCGTCATACTTTGAGGTCATTTTTGAATGGTCAATGCCTTTAAGGTCTATACATTCCAGCTGAAATAGGGATAATAAAACAGGTAAACTAGTTTACATGACCACAAGCAAAATCAGACTGTGTGTACTGTACAAACATGTACACTCAGTAAAACAACTGTCACTTAATTACTAGCTGATGCAATCCAGCTCATTTTGACCTCTCCACATTATTTGATAAGTGACGCTGGACAACAAAACGAGGCTTGTGTTGCTCGGGTATATTTTTGGCAAAAAATAAAAAAATAAACAGTGTATTGGTCAAAATGACTCTTTTAAGCCAAAAATCTGTCAAATACTAAGTAAAGGTTATGTTCCATCAAGTAATTTTGAAAATCTATTGCCATAAATATGTATGAACCAAATTTCTGACAAGTAATGTGCATTGCTGAGAACATACTTTAATTTAGACATCTTTAAATGCAATTTCTCAGTATTTAGATTTAAAAAATGAAACCAATGAAGCCAAATGAAACCTTACATCAATGAATTTCTTAAATATTGTCCTGTCCCAACAAACCATAAATTGATGGAAAGCTTATTTATTCAACTTTCGCATAAATCTCAATATCCAAAAAAATGAGTGGTTATGAGTGATTTTTTGTAGACCCAGTCACGTATACACTACGTGACCAAAGCCTTGTCGCCTTTGTTTTTAGGAAGTTTTAGGAACAACAAATAATAACGTGACTTAGCTGACCATTTAGTATCAGTAGGTGTTTAAATGAAAGGCAAAGGCCTCTAGATTATGTTTATTTTACCAAAATAAAATATGGTCATGCCTGGATTTTTTAAATTATTTATATATTATGTAGAGTATAGAATATAAAATCATGGTCCAGTGGAAAAAGAATTAATACTGTTTGACTCCCATGAGCTTGGGCAACAGCATCTTTACATCTCTGCAATGACTCAAATAACTTAAAAATAAAGTCATCTGGAATGACAAAGAAAGCGATCTTGCAGGACTCCCAGAGTTCATCAAGATTCTTTGGATTAATCTTTAATGCCTCTTCCTTCATCCTTACCCCAGACATGGCCAATCCTGGAGCACCTTGACTTTTTTTGCTTTCAGAAACTTTGATGTGGAGGCTGAAGTATGAGAAGGAGCGCTATCCTGCTGAAGAATTTGCCCTGTCCTGTGGTTTGTAATGTAATGGGTAGCACAAATGTCTTGATACGTCAGGCTGTCGATGTTGACATCTACTCTGCACATATTTCGCACACTCTCAAACTGAGTGCAACCCCAAACCATGATTTTTCCTTCACCAAGTTTCTGTGAGAATCTTGGGTCCATGTGGATTCCAATAGGTCTTCTGCAGTATTTGTGATGATGCAGTTCAACAGATGATTCATCGGAAAAATCCACCTTCTGCCACTTTTCCATATGATCGACTACAAGTCAAGTTATTATTTGCTGCCTTTACAACTAAGATCAATGACAAGACTTTTGTCAGGTAGTGTATGTTTAATAACACACAATGCTTACACTCATCATGCTTGAGTAATGTTTGTAATACAAGTAGATTCCAGCTAGCAAGTCTTTCTTTAAATAAACGATTGCTGTTAGGACTTCGGGGCTCACATAAATTCAGCATGAAGCGGATTTCCTTTTCTGAGAGCGTAATTTACGATCTTATACTCCGTTAAATATAGAGCTGACATGATCTGATATGTAAATCAGGATAATGACAGCTATTACATTACAGCCGGGCATTATGACTCTGTTCCTGTCTCCAGATCATTACAAAATTGGCCTTTTGCCTTTTCCCTTCAGACTGTAGTAAATTCATTTATTTTAATATTTTTTTCCACTGAGGAGATTTGTGTCATGACTTAGCTGATCGGTACAAATATTAATAGGGCTTTGATATAAAGGAAGTATGTCTTTATTGAGATTTATGAGACGGATGGAATGAAACGATCAGTTGCCTCGAGCAAAGCTTTTTTCTCATTTGTACTGATACTAATGTGAATTATTTATTTCTTGCACACAGATTTGTTTCTGCAGGGCGCTGCGGGTACAAACAAATGAAAGCACACATATTTGACAGCTTAAAGTATGTTGTTTCTGTGACCTGAAGGTCTTTGTGTGTGCGATGAAGGTCAGTCGGAGACAGAGACAGATGCTAAGGAAATTACGGGCTGTGATTGTTTGTTCAGGCTGCTCTGGTGAATAATGACAATATTATGACATTTCTGATGGAAATGAAAATGCAAGTTGAACTGAAATACAATGGAAAGTAACTGAGGGTATGTGTAATAAGAAGTGATCTTTTATTAGTATAGTAAAAAAAAAAAAAATTAAACCTTAGCTATGGCATATGTGGTTTAGTAAATTTATAAATACACTGTTTTGCCCCTTTTTTTGTTTGACCCTTTTTTATTAAATCACACATAGACTCTTTACTAAGCTCTATTTTTTTTCTATTTCGATACTTTTTTTATCCCTCACAATCTTTCTTTCTTTATTTTCCCCCCATTTAATTACTGTTTTTAAATTATTCCTACATTATTTTCTCTATTAGATGTGGGGAAAATGAAACCTTTATTATGAGTTTTTCTGTGTTATTTGGGTTTTGATATAAAACAAAAATACCTCCATTTAATTACTAAATTATTAAATTCTGGTATTTAAATACCAGAATTTAATTACTGCTTTAATTTTTCATTACTTTGTGAAAAATAAAACATACCTGAAGTATTTGAGGCTGTACTACATTTATATCTATATAATATACATTATTTCATAGCTTATTTTGATGTATAATTTTATTAGAAGTAGTAGTAGTATTAGTAGTAATAATATTAATATTATAATTAGTGGTATATTAATTGTTTTGTTTATCTTTCTATCTCTATATTTAAACTTAATTTATAATGATTTATTTTTTTATGAATTGGCTAAATATAACATAATGATAATACATTCTACATATTATGCTTAGCATATTTATGGCTACACATATCTAAATCACTTTAAATCTCTAAGTGCTTTGGTTTATGGAAGCAGGCCACCCTCATATATTATTCTAAAATTAGTCAAATTTTGTATTTATTTATTTATTTATTTATTTATTTATTTATTTATTTATTTATTTATTTATTTATTCATTCATTCATTCATTCATTCATTCATTCATTCATTCATTCATTCATTCATTCATTCATTCATTCATTCATTTATTTGTTTGTTTGTTTGTTTGCTTGTTTGTTTATTTATTTATTCCTTATTTGTATTTATTTATCTATCTTGTACCATTTTATTGTTTATTCAAATTTTGTATTGGTTATTAATTAATTTATTTATTTATCTTGTGTTGTTTTAGTTATTTTTAATATTTTATAGATTTTAATATTTATTACATTTTTTATTGCTTATTTATTTATTTATTTAATTGTTAATAAAACGTTGAGGGGAAAGTACAACACATAATTCTACCATGTTTATTACACTCTGTAAATCAATTTAGGTGCACCAACAACAACAAAAAATTTTCAACATTCAACTTCTTTCCTTAAATCAACTTTTGGAAATCACCTTGGTTTTGCCTTGTCTGGGTTTGAGCCTTTGCGGTGAATGGCTGGCTCCTCTGTCGAGTCTGAGCTGTGATTGGCTCTCTTCTGTATTGTGTGGGCTGGTGCTGTATAAAAGGTCAGCTGGAAGGAGGAGACTGCATTGAGATTGTGAGGATCTACATTGTGACACTCAGACTTCTTTTCTCTTGCTTTGGATTTTTATTACGCATCAGCAACATGTGTAAAGGGCTTGCTGCTCTTCCTGCAACATGCTTGAAAAGGTAACTATACCTCAGTGGAAACCTTTGGAGATATTTTCATGATTAGTTCAATGTTTAAGACTTGATTTACACTCTGGGGAAAGAGCAAAGTTTGCTGTTTTGGATATCAGATTTCATTGTTTTTTTCTGAGTGATGTTGCTTTTAAGTTTGTGATAAATTCCAAGCAGATTTTAAGAGAAAAATTAAGTTAAAATAAAAAGTTAATCATAACCAGGTTATGCTTGCATAAATTGAGCGTCTAAATCTATAAGTTAATTTAAATTCATATTTAATTTTTTTCAACAGTGCCAAAGATATAAAACATAAGATTGGCTTCCTGCTTCAAAAGCCAGATCCACCCCAAGAGCAAAAGACTCTGAAGGAAAAAGAGAAGGAGAAAGACAAGGAGAAGGTGAAGGACACTGTGGTCAACAGGTAAGACTGGTCCAGAATAATTTTATTTTATTTTATTTTATTTTATTTTATTTTATTTTATTTTATTTTATTTTATTTTATTTTATTTTTATGTGCTTTATTCAGTATTTTATTTTTAATTGTTATTAATAAATATAGAAGTGTGATTTACCATGGCTTATTTCATTTTATTTTATTTTTATCAAATATGATTTTGTTTTTATCAAATGGTTTTAAATAAGCATGCACGATTAAATCAGTGTGTCATAATATAAAATCATTTTATTATTTTTCATGCTTTTATATAATTTTAAATATTTAAAAAAAAATTAATATTATATTTCTACATAAATATGTTATATTTAAAATGAATGCAGATTTTAATGATAGCAGCTTATACTTTTATAAATGTAATGTAATATATTTACAAAACCATTTCACCAATCGTCTCTCTCATTTCAGAATCACTCCTGCCGAAACTGAGAAATGGAAAACATCATTTACCAACCTGATCAAAAACGACGGTAAGCCTCAAAATCATATGCTTCTGCAATAAAAGCAGCTGATGAAGGCAGCACACATTAGCTAGGAACCATCTATTAAATAAATAAAGAAGCCATGAGTCTCCAACATTGACCCTTGTTTATTGGGCCTTGTCTTCTCAGTCAAAGAGTCCTTGACATCATTAATGTGTCAGTAGAAGGAGACTCTGGCAGGACATGACTATGTCCTTCTCACGCTCCAGAGACTGTGCTACGTGTCCTCAGACTGCGCTGGTGGCCCCCTAAGAGCCCTAACACTGTGCTCTGGGGGCCTGCAGGGGTCATCGACCAGCGGGACAGTCTTTAGAGAGTCTCTTTAGACTCAAAGAGCTGAACTTCTCATTCCTGAAAGCCCACAGCGTCCGCTCACTAGAGCTGGAGTCAGTTTAGAGGGAGATTTCAGTGTATAAAACAAAAGCCAATCTTACGTTATATTATAATGAATTGAATTAGATTATATTTAATAAAATGACACAAAATAACTCAATAAAATGGCAATTCATTCTAAAATACTGCTTCATACTGTAAATTTGAGTTTTATTAGATTTATTTTATATTATATTATGTTAAAAATATATAATTTTTGTTTTTTATATTTATATTTAGTCTCACTGAAATTGTTTTTTTTCCAGATAGTCAAAATTATACTTATTAAATAATAAATATATAAATATTTAAGTGTAATTTAATATTATTTTTTACTATTTATTAAATTTTTAATAGTAATGAGTTTAGATTCAGATTTCAATGTTAAAATATATTTAAACATTATATTATATTATATTATATTATATTATATTATATTATATTATATTATATTATATTATATTATATTATATTATATTATATTAAAATATATTATGATAAAATATATTTTATTATATTATGTTATATTATATTATATTATATTATATTATATTATATTATATTATATTATATTATATTATATTATATTATAATTTATTAATTTATACATAAAAAGAATACTCAAACATAAAGACTAAAATATACAAATGTTATATTTGTATTTCTCAAACACAACAAAACAAACAGAATATAAGTAATATATAAGTACTAAAAGCATGGCAGTAGTTAAAAGGACAGTAAAATACTATATTAAAATAACATTTAGTCATTTTTATATTAAATCCTGTTATGTTTGAAGTCATAAATATTAAACAAATTGTTTAATATTGCTCGTAATTTATTTTGATCAGTTGTGTATACATTGAGTCTCACCTGAAATCCTTTTCTTCCAGACGGTCGCAAGGCTTTCGCATCCTTCCTACAGTCCGAATACAGTCAAGAGAACATTGAATTCTGGGTAGCCTGTGAGGATTTCAAGCAGACGCCAGCAGACAAGATGAACCTGAAAGCCAGAAATATATTTGAGCGATACATTGAGGCCGATTCCCCCCGTGAGGTGAGAGCTTTTGACCACCATAAAACTCTATCACACACACAGTATACATCAAATATACTCATAAAGCTCCATTAAATTCACAGGTCAATCTGGATTCAGTCACCAGGGAGCAGACCAGAAAGAACCTGGAAATGTGTGATGTTTCATGTTTTGACGAAGCTCAGAGTAAAATCTTCACTCTTATGGAAAAAGACTCGTATCGGCGATTCCTGAGATCCAGATTGTTCCTGGAACTGTCTCAACCTGCGATGGACAACAAACCCTGTGGTTTAGAGAAGAAAGTAAAGCGACAGATTTCTGACTACAGTCAGTGTTTGCCTAGTTATGCCTAAACAGAGCCGTCTGCTCCTACATGAACAAAAGTACACTATGAACTGTGGCGTATTGTGACCACCACTCATCGGGCTGTGTAAAATGAATGACGTTTAATGCGAAACACTGCAGTTGAATTAGCTACAATTAATAGTTGTCATTATACTTATCCAGTTGATAAAGTTGACCTTTTTTTTGTTTTAAATTATGTTTGAACGAGGAAGTACGTATTTTGGATGCGAGGACAAAATTTGGAAAGTTGGATGATCTTTGACTTTAGATTAGGTTTTTACTTACATTTTTTATCATTCTATAATTACAAAAATATTGCAAGCTGCCAAAAATATATTAATTGATTAAATCAAATTATTTTTTGTGGAATTAAACGGATATGATGAGTCATTTTATGTACGGTATACAAATCCAAAAAACTTCAGAACATAGTCCTGCATAAAACTTTAAAGATTGAAGTAAATGGAAATTTATGGCTTAGTGTGAGAGAATGTTGTAAAGATGGCTTTTAAAAAGCATTTTGTAATTGAAATCTACAGACACGCAATTATAAAGTGTGTCAAAAAACAAACCAAAAAGCTTATGGAACTCCTGCTTTAAATTTATTCACCTTTAAGAGGTTGCAAACCTTAAAGAGTTTCTTTTTTTCTGCAGTTTTTTTGAAAAAAGGTAGAAACTGGTGACTGTTTATATATAAATACCAAAAGTCAATAGTTACAGGTTTTCAACATTTTTCAACATAACTTACAAAAGCACAAAAAGAAACTTAAACAGGTTTGTGACAAGTGCAGGCTTAGAAAATGATGACAGATCTTTCTGTTTGGGGTGAAATATCCCTTTGTCTCATCCATTTTTGGTGTTTTTTTTTACATTAGAATGAAGAAAAACTTCATGAAAAGCCAAAAAGCCCAATAGCTGCAGTGTCTCGTCTTAAGACTACATAAGAGGATTTGTGTGCCAGAGCCAATTAGACTTCATTTGATGTTTCAGCCATCATGATCGTAAAACATTTGCTTTTTAAACCCTTTCAAATCCCCAAAGCTATTAAAAAATGTGTATCAAATCGCCTCTTGAGTAAGACGTCATCTTCTATACGGGATTTGTGGAAGCGATGTTTTCACCAGCAACATAACCCGCATCTACCCAGTCAAGCTGCATTGAACTGGTTTTGGGAAAACAACGCCTGACGTAGTTTACAACTAAATGACTGTTACAGCTTTGTTCGATGCTATGATGAGAATAGGAACATCATTAACAATAATCAACTGTATCCTCTTTACTCTTGTAACGTTATGTAATGCATATATATATTTATATGTGTTTGTATAAGCTCTTCTAAGGTGATCGATCACCCAAAAATGAAAATTTACTCACCATTCTCTCAACCTCAAGTGAGTTTACAACTTCATAAAGAGTTTCTTTCTTCTGTTGAAGGCAAAACAACTTTTTTGAGGAATGCTAGGAAGTCAGAAGTCAATGACAACTATAGTTTTCAACATTCTTCAAAATGTCTTATTTTGTGTTCTATAGAAGAGAGAAACTATGTGGAAGATGATGACAGTATTTTCATTTTTGGTTGACTGTCTCTTTTATTCTAAAGGTGAAGTACACATTCTTTCTACTCAAAATGTGAACTTGCGTTTTGTTTTTCTGTTGGCCATCCATCATAATCCACCAAATGACAAGTGAATGTGATAAATGTGCATGTGCAATGTATACAACCTGTCACTAGCAGTAATTCACAAATCGTGCTGTACCTGTATAATGAAACTGTGTGTTGGCAGATTTAACATATCAAACTACAGATGCTCCGGTTCAAATAAATGGCCAAACATGTGAGTTGTTTACATATTTGTTTACTATTTCCATATTTATTTTTGTCATATTTGTGAATAAAATCACACATACTATTTAACTGGTCTCTGGGATAATCTATCTATCTATCTATCTATCTATCTATCTATCTATCTATCTATCTATCTATCTATCTATCTATCTATCTATCTATCTATCTATCTATCTATCTATCTATCTATCTATCTATCATCTATCTATCTATCTATCTATCTATCTATCTATCTATCTATCTATCTATCTATCTATCTATCTATCTATCTATCTATCATCTATCTATCTATCTATCTATCTATCTATCTATCTATCTATCTATCTATCTATCTATCTATCTGTCTCTCTGTCTGTCTCTCTGTCTGTCTGTCTGTCTGTCTGTCTGTCTGTCTGTCTATGATGCAGTCATTTTTTTAAAACGTTCTTCAAAATGTAGGATTTATGTATAGAAAAAATGTTTAATTGCTACTTTAAAACATAGAGAAATGCCACAGCCACACACTGCTTTGTTTACATTTGCTATTTTTTTTGTTATTTATTTAACGAAAGAAAAACAACTGTTCAAATGTTAAGCTTAAAAGTATAGTTTGTTTTGAATACCTACATAAACAAATACACACATATATATAGCTAAATGCATAAATAGTTACAAAATAAATAATTTATGACAATGTTAAAAAAAAAAAAAAAACATAAAAGCAAACTGAAAGTTCAGTCAATAGTCCGTATTCAATAAATATATATTTATTTTTTTAAAGCCTTATTTTGGGCCTTTAAATATATAATTTAAGCTCTAAAATCAATTTTAATACTATACATAGTATATTATCTCTATCATATATTATTTAGTATTTTTGTATATGTATCTAAACTTTCAAATAATAAAAAATTAGAGGACTTTATAAAACACACGTTTTATATTTTTGACTGAAATTAGTTTTATTTAATTTTATTTTCTGTCAATTACCATAATATTCATTTAAACAACTACATATCATTTGTTTGTTTCTGTATGTAATTAGTAACATTTATTTCACAAAATAGAAAGAAAAGAAAGAAAGAAAGCTCCATGTCAATAACCCTCATCTGTCCTAACACGATAATAAGCCTCCATGTAATATGATTGTGACGTAAAGGAGGATTGCAGTTGTAGATGTTTAGGACATTGAGTGAAAGAGCACAGGAAGTTCAAATATTCCAGAAAACTATAAGGTCTCTCTGGGGTGTTGTTCCCATATTCCCAAAAGCACAATGTCTATGTGGAAGACCCTTTGGGTAAGATTACTTATTAACTATCGATATTGACGCATTTACCACGCAACCTTTTCGTGGCTAAACCAGAAACAAACGGTTCAATATTTCACCTTCCTCAAAAGAAGATAAAGATGTGGTTTTTAGACTCTCAACAGAAAAAGAAAAGATTACCTTGGCGGAGTCAACGTGACCCAAGACACACGCAAACACATGGTTTCAATCAGGACTGTTGTTTAGATGCTGACGTGAGAGAACATTTGATTCTGTTTTTGGATTTAATGAATTAGACTGTGTAAGAATAAGCAATACAGTGTATGATGGTCACTTGGGTTAAACTGTTTAACTAATAGTTAGCTTGCAACTACACCAGTTGCCTGTTTTACATAAAAATGGCATATATAAAAGTTGTTGTTTTACAATAATTTTAAAATGATGCTTAAATATGCAAATGAGGCATTATTTCGGTAAAAATGCACACATTTGCTTCCAGTACATTTACAGTGCAAACATTTTAACATTGGATGAAGCCAGGTTTTATTTGTTTATTTAATTGTTAACACATTAGATAAAAAAATGTACAGGGGTAATTTTAGGAATTACTTTATCACTCCATGATTTAGAAATATACAGCAACAGCCATATTTTTATTTTCAGAATTATGTGTTGAATAACATAAAAAAAAATCCTTACAAATTCATAGATATAAATAAAACTGAAAAGTTTGGTTTTATGTGAGAGTTGCTAAAGTGGAGATTTATGTGCATGAGATAAAAAATAATTTTAAGAAAATGTTAAAAATATGCATTACAAATTAAATCTACAGACACAGACTGATAAAATAAAACACTTAGTATTTTGTCTATACATTAAAAACACTTAAAAGCCTAAAATCTCAAAACTGATGCATAAAAAACGCAGAAAAAAGAAGAAGATGAATTTACTGTCTCATCTCATATTTTAAAAACAACGCAGAGGGTTTTTCCTTTTTTTCTGAGTAATCAAAGTGGGCTGAGATGGAGTGGGTTCTTCAGGATGGGAACATTTAGTTCTGATCTCTTTTGTGCTTCCCGTTTGAAGTAGGAAACAGAGAAAATCTTGGGATGTAAACAAATGATGTGACACTTCAAAGCCATATTATACACTCAAAGCAAAACATAAACACAAATGGAGTAATGAGTGAAATGATTATTATGATGTATTGCTGTGCATTTCATATAGAGCCAGGGGGCACAAAAGAAAAGTTTTTCCCAAAGTTTATGATGATTGAAACCATGACTAAAGAGAAATGATCAAAAAAGTTTATTTAAAAAATGGGACAATTTATAGTAGTGAAGTAGTAGTTTATAAATGATTAATGACTAAATTTGTTATCGAATGCAAGTACTTGATTTTGTTAGTGAAACATGTAAATACTTACACAGTTGTATAGCATGAAGTAAATAATATATCATTAATCAATTTATTCCAAACACTTTAGCTGCATTAAAAAAACAAAAGTTTTAATCAACACATATGATAATTTGACTATATGACATTTAAACGTATACCTTGGAATGAAAACAAACAAACAAACAAACAAACAAAAAAAAAACACCTCTCATTCAGATTTTTGTTTACAACTGCAACAAATTCTAATCTATATGACATTTACATGTAAAGCTCAGAATGTAAACAAACAAACAAGCAAACAATCTCATGCAGTTTTATCCTAAATATCCCAATTTATCTGAAATGATTTTGTTTATTTTGCTTTATTTTTCCTGTGTAAATGCAGCATATACTGCAGCACTGAACATTTCTTTGCTTTTAGTGAACGAACAATACACTGTATATTGCCAGCTAAGCTGTATCTGCCAGCTACAATGCTGAAAGCATTTAATAAATGACTCTTTATCGTGATTGCAGGTAATGCGCCCACTGTACGTGTTTCAAAATAAGTCTACTTAAGGAAAATAATATGTTTCAGTTCAGGCATTTTCATCCTTCATACCTGCCAACACTACAGGTTTTCTAGTAAGATTTTCTAGTCTACCTTCCATTCTATTCTATTCTATTCTATTCTATTCTATTCTATTCTATTCTACTCTATTATTTTATTTTACTTTGAATAACTTTATTATAATGTGGCGACTGTTACCCAGTGTTTGGTTGTGACAGGAAGGGCATCCGCTACGTGAAACATATGCTGGATAAGTTGGTATTGATTCTGCTGTGGTGACCCCTGATTAATAAACCGACTAAGGCAAAAAAAAAATGAATGAATGTAGCGACGGCTGATGAATCAGGGACAAAGCAAAAGCAAAGTGAGTGAATTTACAGTTTTTCTCAGTTGCTTTGGTGCATTTCTCACAACACTATTTACATTTGCACAACAGTTAATGCATTTCTCAAAACAATTAGTACAAACTGCAAAACCTTGACGATAACCTGCTAAAGCGTGTCACTTGCTCACAATGCATAGCTCATTCCTCAAAAGCAAGTATGGATGTCAATGAAAGTGTCAGTGTCATCAAGATGAAAAGTCCTGACACTATTGTTTATGAACAAGATTGTCAAATGGCTTTGTCATGTTTTCATTATGACAGTTTACTCTGTACTTTTTAATACAAAATTGGAATGGAATGACTATTACAGTTTTTCTCGATTGCTTGGATGCAGTTGTCAACTGAAACTCCACATTTTCAAAACAGTTAACACACAGGCCTAAACAGCAGCACTCATGGTCAAAATGACACATTTTGCTTGCAAAAGGCACATATCGTGTCAAAACCTTTACAATATGCAACAAAAGCTAGTTTTACCTTCAAACTACACAACTTGCAAACAGGTATATGAGCTCTTTCAATTAATCATTACACAACGGACAAAAAAATACAAAATACAGAAGTCAGTGCACCACCATTGCTTGTCATTGTAGCCTATTGCCAATGCCATTTGTTGTCTTTCTATTTGTGCTGTCAAATTTGCCGTTTTGCAAAGAATTGAATCCAGAATAAGAAATGTTTTGATTACATTTATATTGAATTCATGACAATTGAAAACTGAAATACTGTAAAAACAGACAAAAGTAATAAAATACTGTAAATATTAAAGAAAACACATGTAAACCAATATACAGTCAAATTTATTAGGAGTAAAGGACATAGACCTCCTTCATCCATGCTGGCACAGAGCAACACAGACCTTCTACCATTTTATAAGGTTTGCAGACTGATTGCTTATTGAAGATTTGTGTGAAGGAGTGTCAAACCGGTGCTTCATTGAATTCATATTGATGTTGGTAGTTTCTAATGGTTAGAAATAGATGGTTTCTGTTTGGTTACCATAACTAAAACAATGGAGTTTGGACTGCTTGAATGACATCTGTGTTAACTGTTTTGAAAAATGGTGGGGAAAATGTGTCAACCCAATGAGAAAGCGTTTACACATTTGCAAGACCGGTCTTTTGCTCTGCTGGGATAGTGAAAATGAAAATGAAGTGGAACCTAGTTTCTTTAACCAGGTCAAAGCAAACAAGAAAAACTGTAAGCATTTACAAGTTTAGTTAATTTTGACTGACATTACACAAGCAAACGATAATGCTATAAAACAGCAGAGAATTGTATGAAAGCAATTGATGCATGTCCAAAAGCATTTACAATTTGTTGGAAGGAATGAGAAACTGCTATGATGTGTACAAATTACTGTTTTGAGAATATATTAGAATTATTATAGATCACCCACTAAAGTCAATTTGTCAGTGTATATAATGACCACCACATACATCTTTGTTTGCTGCTCATAGCAACGAGCTGTTGTTTAGGAAAAGGCTGT